GCTGAGGTGGCATGCACAGGGCCTGTGTGAGTCTGCACCAGACGGGGTCCTAGAGCTGAAAGGAGAAGTGGACACCCAGGCCCATCCCCCCACTAGAAGCTATACCTAATTGATAACCACTTGCAAATGAAATTTTAGTTTTCTCCAAGGGAGTCTACTGTGTAAACAAACCACTCTGAAGGGTAGGGCCCACGCCCAGTTGTAGATTCCCCACAGAAAACAAACTCAAGCATATCTTTGCAGCTTCTCCTCCTCCTCCTCCTCCTTCTTCCTTTTCTTTTTCTGCTCCTGTGGCTTCCATTTTTCTTACTCATGGTATTCTCTATGTATGGAAACAAGTATGTCTCTGTGTATATGTGCTTCTTGTGATTTTTTTTCTATCCTCCTGGCTCTTTTTCTTCTTTGTTTGTTTCATTCTATTGAATTTTTTATTATTATTCCTTAGATGTTTGTATATTTTCTAAAGAGAGAAAGAAAGGGCATGGATCAGATGGGAGAGGAAATGGGGACAAGCTAGGAGGAGTATAGCAAGAGGATATTATAATCAGAATATAATATATGAACAAATATATATTTTCAATAGGAGAAAAAAAAGAAAAGGTTTATAAAATATCAGTATATAGCATATATGGAGAGAAAATGTAACCAGATTCTTATATGTTTTAGGACATTTTACTTATTTCCAGAGCTTCAAATACACATCTTAAAGAAGTTAGTTACACTGTTTAATAGAAATAACAGAAAGCAAATATTAAGGTAACAAGAGCTGTGTTGATATTTGCTAAGGAGGGCCAGGCAGCTGGGCAGATGTTTAAACAAAGGCAGCAAAGTGAGAAAGTTTATTTCAGTTTCAGAGAATTTAAAGTGATTCAGTGCAGCTGAGACAGAAAATAATCAGCAAAGCTCAAATATGTAAAAACTTTGCTCCATTGAGGTAACCACAAGGAGCCTGGAGAAGAATGGGAACATGGGAAAACTGTGTTGGCATAGCAGCTTTATGTGGCGTTGACAATAAGAATTTCTAATGATTTTGACAATAGTGATGTAACCAGACCTATTATTCATATGAAAGATACACTGTCTCCTTTCCAGTCTTTTGGATTAAAAACTTAAGTGTAGAGAATAAAAATGGATATGAACTACAGCACAGGGTGTTTGCCTACATGTGCTTCAAATATAAATATATATATATATATATATGTGTGTGTGTGTGTGTGTGTGTGTGTGTGTGTGTGTGTGTGTGTGTAGTCAGTGTGTTCATGAGTGTTTATGTTAAAGAGTATGTGTGCTTAAGTTTGTGTGAATGTATGTTTGTGTGTATGAGTGTTTGTGAGAAAATGTGTGTGAGTGTGTGCAAGTATACACACACAGTATTAGTGACTGTTCTATGTGAAATGCAAACTCCTGATCAAGTTCTCTGGTAAAGCTGCCTACACTTGTGGGAGATTTTCATTTCCAGGCAGGACAGAGTCCTATTCCTTTCCTTGCAAGGTGAAAGACAGGACTATCTTAGTGTTTCACAGCTGGATGGAGCCATGGTCTCTGATGGCTGACCAGGAAGGCAGTTCCAGTCTCTTTCACAGCCTCTGACCACTCAGACTGGAGAGTTGCTAGAAAACAAACAAACAAACAAAAACAAAACAAAACAAAAAACCAGGTACCCAACCCTTCGATGCTTGGGCACAATAAGGGAGTTATTTTCATGGCATTCAGCCTGATAGAGACCTGTGCGGTAAGGTCCCTTCCTATTCCTTTGTCAGAACCCAGAGGCTGAGTGAGTTAGGATGTTTATAGTAGGACCTGTAACTGTGACTGTGTGGGCGGCTTCTTCAGCTTGGATTAGACATCCATAAAGCAAAGGGAAGCTGAGGGATCACAGCACACGCTTTATCCCTAAAGTCCAGAGGTCCATTGCTAGCTGTCTGTCTCCACTGAACATCTAGTTTCTAAAGTGTTGTGCCATACTGTGTAGCAAGAGCAAAGTATATTTGAATAACACTCCTGGAAGCAGAAGTCAATAAAAACTGTTTCCAGGAAATATGTGACCATGAATCCTTGACCACTCAATGAAATACATTTTTTATTTACTTGTTTTTTTCCTTGTTCTTTTTTTAAATATCATACTGGAGACTGAACCTAGAACTTCTCCCAGGCTAGGCAAGAGCTCTACCACTGAACTTTACCCCCAAATATCCTTTTATCTTTTTTATTTTTGTCTCTTTACTCTTTATTTTCCAAACATCTCAATTAGATCTCTAGCTGGCTTAGTAAATTCTCCAGGCAGGTTGCAAACCCTTTGTGTGGCTCAGACAGTCCTTGATTATTTTTATCTCCATGCATCAGCTTTCTGTGTAGCAAGAATGACGGCAATGTATCATCTGTCCCCAGGTTAGAAACATATTTTTAAATACAAATGATTAAAAATAAACTAAAAACAATTAAGAATGACTGGATATCAAACAATAAAAGTAAAGTGAAAAGATAATTTACTCATTGGAGAGTAGATCTGCAATATATATTGCTAATGATAGCTTATACACAGCATGTAACGGGAATTTCCAGAAATCAGTATAAAAGGTTTGCATATCTCACAGAAAATCAGACTAATATGCACTTCACAAAAATGAGATCATAATGATTGATGATCATATAAATACTACATTAATCATAGATTTACAAAGTAAAACCATCAATAGCACTATAACCCTCTTGGAATGGTGAATGTGTTCACATCAGGCAACATCAATGAGGGTGGGGATCCAGAAAACCAGAAACTCCTGTACACTGCTGCTGAGAGAATAAATCATTCCAACCACTTTTAAAAACAGTATGTCATTGCTTATTGATTCGAGACATCACCAGGCTATGTGTAGATATAACAATGCAGGATTTATGCCTTGCAGTATTTTTTTTCCTGGTTTTTTGAGACAGAGTTTCTCTGTGTAGCTTTGTGCCTTTCCTAAAACTCACTTGGTAGCCCAGGCTGGCCTCAAACTCACAGGGATCCGTCTGGCTCTGCCTCCTGAGTGCTGGGATTAAAGATGTGCACCACCACCAACCGGCACCTTGCAGTACTTTTATGTGCAGAAGAATGTATGAATAAAAAGATTCACATAACCAGTATTCATAGTTCTTCACAGTGGAAAAAAAATCACATTCACACCACATTAATATGGATAATTAAATTATAATGTAGACTATTATACTGCCATGAAAATGAATGAGCTAGACAAGTTAAAGAGAAAGAGAAGACTAGATGAAATAAACAGACAATGGTGATATTTATTTCTAGTTCAAAAGGTAAACAACAGAAAGGGGTGTAAACCGTTTATTGGTATATCTATATAGGTTTTGTTTTGACGTATTTCTCTTTTAGGTTTTGCCCTAAGACTCCTAGCAATAGTGATCTTGTAATCTGAACTGGTCATCTCCTGTGACCAGGGGAGACTTCAAATTGAGAGAGTGGGAAACCAACCCAGCTATATAACCTTCAGCCGACAGTCTGTCCTACCTATGGGACATGCTGGGGTGAGGTGGCCTAGAGGTTGAGGGAGTGGCCAACCAACTTTTTTTCTCCCTTTTTTCTTTTCTTTCTTTCTTTCTTTCTTTCTTTCTTTCTTTCTTTCTTTCTTTCTTTCTTTCTTTCTTTTTTTTTTGAAAAAAAAATGGAAACTCCGTCCTTATTGGGTGTATAAACATCTCTGGTCTGTACATACATCTCATACATCATAGTGCAGGCCCGGAAGGAGGGGCAGGACCCCCAGCAGCACAGCACCCCCTCCCAGTCCTACCCACCCGTACAAACTGAGACCAAGAGCCCCTGGAAAGGGGGGAGAAAATGGGGGCTTGGTCGCAGGGGCAAGGTCTATGAAGATGCTAGAATCAAACACTGAAGCCAAGACAGTCAACTGGCACACACAGCAAGCTGGGCACAGGGTCGAGGTGGGCAGGAAAGGGGGTGAGGGACCAAGCTGTGGCTCTGAGCAACAGCCACAACATAATACATGTCCTGGTGCCTTAGCCCCATCTCGGGGAGCCAGGGCTAGGGGTGCCTTGAAGAGTGCAGACGAAATGGGAGCAAAGGCCACAGTCCCATGCTACCACACACACACACACACACACACACACACACACACACTGAGCAATCTGTACGTGGACAGGTAGGGAGCCAGGCTCAGGCTTTCTGTGGTGCTTTAGTGTGGGGGTGGGGCTGTCTCTCAGAGGAAAGAAAGGAGACCCTAGATGTGATTTAGGACAGCAGCCCAAGGAGAGATGGCCAAGACAGGCCTTCTAGCCCAGCCAGGGGGAGACAGCAGCATCTGGCTCCCAGGAGGGCAGGGAGTGAAGAGATTTCAGGGGAACTATGTGGTGAATAGAGACAGGGTGCCTGTAGCTAGAGTTTTCCTGCCTTGCCCACAGTCAGGACAAATCTCTGTCACCCGCCAGTCCCACAGCCGCTCAGACCCAACCAAGTAAACACAGAGACTTATATTGCTTACAAACTGTATGGCCGTGGCAGGCTTCTTGTTAACTGTTCTTACATCTTAAAGTAACGCATTTCTACAAATCTATACCTTGCCATGCGGCTCGTGGCTTACCAGCATCTTCACATGCTGCTTGTCCTGGCAGTGGCTGGCAGTGTCTCCTTCTGCCTTCCTGTTCTTTTATTTCTCCTCTGTTAGTCCCGCCTATACTTCCTGCCTAGCCACAACCAATAAGGTTTTATTTATTGACCAATCAGAGCAACTTGACATACAGACCATCCCCCAGTACAGCCAAGTGCAGACCATCTCAGACACCTGCACTCAGGCCCATGGTCCTAATCATCCTCTATGCAAACCTACTGGGTAACGCCACAAGGAACCCAAGAAGGGCTCCCACAGGACATACATTAACATCCCACAGCAGGTGCCTATACTCTACCCTTGGCCCAAATAGCAGGTGGGCTCACACCTCTCAACTCGCACAGGATCCAGTGTGGTACAAGGAGATCTGATTGCCTCACAAACCAAAGCATGGGGACCCTCCCGTATATCAACACTGTTCTCTGCCCATCACCAAAGGCTCGGGCCCAGGAACAGAAGGTACAGCCTGACTGGGCCCTGAGCTGGTGGGGGCAGGGTGATATCTTCCCAGAGCCTGCTGGTGAGCAGGGCGGATGTGCCAGGGAAGCCACTTAGGGGGTGTAGGTCGACTTTCACCTTCTCCCCACAAGTGAGCATTCCAATGGTGGGAAAGAAGCCTCCAGAAGGTACAACAGCATCCTTCTTCCCAATGATCTTGCCATTCCGGGTGAAGAAAACCACCACCTTCTTGCCCTCGTGCTCCTGCTCTATCTCCTCTTCTTCTTCCTCCTCCTCTTCCTCCTCTTCCTCTTCAACTTCCTGGTGCAGGTGCATGACATTTCAGACGTTCTGGACAGCCCGGGCTGTCGGGGAAAAGATCACTGCATCACAGCTGTCATCATTATCCCCCTCACTATCCAGAATGTAGTCCCAGGGGAACATGATTCCACAGCCCATGTCTCCTTTGTAACAGCGTGGTCCAAAGGGGTCCCCCACACCACTGCCATGGAAGATCTTCCCGTCATCTCCGTGGTATGCCGCAGATCCTCTGCTCCAGCCGGGGTGCCTGTTCTTGGGATAATCCTTCCTGGCCAGCCCCATGGCGATGTAGCATTTCTCTCCAGGGTCCACGATCTCCACCTCGAAGTAATGGCTATGGGTGCTGAGTGGGTGCCGTGCCTGAGCCAGCCCCATGTCCACGATACTCTTGCTCTTCTTGTGATTGGTAATTATAGGCATCAATTTGTCTGGGTGGAATTAGATAGTTAATTCTGAGTATAACTATGAGGAAATTTCTGGAGGAGAATGACAGTTGAATCCCTGAATGTATGAGGAAGACTCATGTCAGTGCAGGTAGCTATAAGCCAGTCTGGCCAGGGCATGGGTAAATCACAAAGACAGTTCTGTTTCCTTACTCAGGCCTGTAAAAGCACCTTCTACCATCACTAGTGTGTAGGCTGCCCCTGCCCCAGGAATCATAAATAAACAGAAGCCAAAGCTCTTTCAGTTTGTCAGTTGACAACCTTAAGTGTTCATATCTTTCTTCAGGAAGTACTTGCAAAAGTATCTTTCATAAGATACAATTGATCAGACTCTCCATAAGCAATGTAGCATAAATGTTATCTTTAACAATATGACAGTTCACATAGGGCCAGTGCCAGCTACCTCAGACCTAATTATCTGTCCTCTTAGAAACGGAAAAGAAAATTTCATTGTAGAGTAAATAGTATTCATTTCTTGAACCTGAACCCAAGCCAGGACCCTAGGGCCCTAATTGACTTTCTCAACATCTCACCAGAAGCCTGCAGGTTATAGGTCAGTCAGCCTTCCTTGAAAGAGCAAGACCTTCATTAGTAATTGACTCCTGAAGGAAGCTGGCCACAAATGCCAGCAATAACAAAAGCCCCCCTAGTTGGAGGTGAAATGCATATGGTGTTTGCTTCTAATTGATGTCACTTTCCTTAATTTTATTTTGAGGTGAATTAACACAAATGAACTTCAGAGCCTTTCCACAGTTCATGTGCCATGACGGTTCTGCTTTTGATACTTAATTATAAAATAGAACAAGACTATGGAGAAAAGGACAGAACAACAGTGGAACACATAAGGACTTATCAGAAAAAAAAAATCTGTAACCACAAACCCAGTAAACACAACACAACACTGACAGTTCAACAAATCTCTGCAGTGATTCCTTGATCCTGGCAAAAAGCCATGAGTACTATCAGTGAGGCTCGTTCTTTGCTCTCTTAACCACTCTTTGTATGTGATGTGTAAATTAACATTCTCCCCTGAAGCAGACAATAATCAAATTCTCTGTCTACTCATGGGTTTGATACTTTATATTTCTTGAACCATTCCAGGGGGTAAATATTGACACCTGGATGTGATTTGATTTAGTATTTCCCTGATTACAGCAGAGATTGAGCACCGTGTCAAACAATTATTGATTCTTAGATGATATTTTTATATAGGAATTTTGTTTTAGAGTCTTCGCCTCTATTTCTATGGAGTACTCTGTCTTTCCTTGTTGATTTTTGAGACTCCCAATATTAGCTCTTTATCTCTTTCATTATATATAGTTATGTTCTTCCAATTTGTGCCTTTCCATTTGGCTTCCACTTTATGAGTAGTCCTTTTGAACTTGAACAGAAAACTCATGTATGTTTTCTTTTGTGATTAGGGACTTTGTATCTTTGGAACACTCTTCTTATCGCAAGCAGTGATGAGTACATCCTACAACATCTTCCAGATGTTTGCTTTCTGTTCTTTCTCTTATGGAGGCTGTCTCCCTGGAATTATACATGCTGCAAACCTGAGGACACATTTTCATTTCCTTTTTTGTAATATAGAGTCTCACTTTTACTGATAACAATTTCTTATGCCACTGATTGCAAGGCCAGCCTTATTTGAATCTAGTGTCCATATATATACACATTTCTACTGATGCTACACACAATGAATCATAAATTCAGTGGTTTAAAACAATATAGCTGCTGACTATTTTATTGTAAACTCATCTGAAGTCTGTTTTAGCCATGTCCTTTATGTAGTCTCACATTGCAGATTCTACCATTGTTGCCAGGATGCTTACTTTCTGGAACCTTGGGACAAATTCACTTACAAGCTTGCATAGGTTGACTATGTCTACTTCCAGTGACTGTGGAAGGACAGAGATGATGATTGTGTTCTAGACAGTGACATAGAGAACATTCTTTGTCTCTAAATGCTTGGCTCCCTCACATGTTTCTCATGTGGCCCTAACTTGCAGTCTGAAAGACAGTCATCTGTTTACTCCCTATGGCTGCCTGTTAACTTTTGCAATAACTACCAACTACCAAAGAAAGTTTCTTGTTTGAAGTACTCATGTAATCAGCAGAGAACAGCCAGACAACTATTGAAATCCATTTATCTTAAGATGTATACTTTTAGTTGCATCTCTGAGCATTGTTTTTCTATGGAGTCCCACAAAGGTTTCTTTGTGAGATCTGAGCTTGCTTTACCCAGCAGAGCTACATCCAAAGATTGCTTGACCATGTACATGATTTCTAAGTGATTGGAAGTGTCTACCTTGGCTGGGCTAGGGGGAGGTCTTTTGCTCCACAACTTGGTATTCCTATAAATATCCCTTTCAAAGAGACAGAGTGGGCTGGTGGATAAGGATCCAAGCCCTCCTGAGGCTATCCTGTGTTTCTATCTGTTTGTCTCCCCTCTATCCTTCTATCTAAATCTCTTATCCCTCTCTCCTCAAGAGTACCATGGGGTAAAATGTGGGAGCTTGTATCCTAGCTAGCCTTCTACATGTAGCTCCAGGAACAAGGGCCAGGAGAAAGGAGGCATCATGGGTATGAAGAGGCATGCCTAATAAGGAATTAAAAATAAAGGCAATGGTATTTTATTCTCAAGAATGAAAGTTAGGCGGTGGAATGCCAAAGTTGAAAAATGAGAGTAGAGTTTATATTTCTATCTAGGTTTCTTTCTCTTTTTCTCTCTCTTAATTTCTATCTATAAAAAATAAGAAAAAACGTAAGATAGAATATAGAAATATAGTGTAAGAAGAAATTTAGAATAAGAGTAGAATTAGGAATGTTGGATGAGAAGAAACTTGGGTAAGGTAGAATAAGATGAGTAACAAGACCGAGGAACTATGTTCTTGATTTCCAACTATGGGACTATGAATACAAACTCCTGGTGAAGAATCAGAGAAAAATTTATGAAAGATGGAAAAAAAAAAAAAAAAAACTCCTGTGGGAGCTTTTGGCCTGTAGACCAGCTTCATTCTAAGTCTTCAGTGGCAGAGGAAAGAATTTTCCCCGAGACATATGTGGAGGTAACAAAACTCTTCACTCCACCAGCAGACACCATTACAGCACTGTACAATAAAAATTAGTTTCCATTTGTCCATGAAGCCAAAGTTTAGAGAATAGAAGTCTTGGGAAAAATTTAACAATTGTGCTTTCCAAAAAACTAAAAGCTTTTCAGATCTTACCTTCTCAGATTTTTTTCTCTTTCTATAAGGGCAAAAATTTAACTCACTTGGAAATAACATCTATCAGTATAGGAAAATCTGTAATTGCCCTAGGAAAAAGAAAAAAAAAAGAAAAAAGAAAAACCTCTTGGAATATGGCAAATCTTCTTTACTAATCCTGTCTTGCCTTCAAGCCAGCAAAAACAGCGGCCATAATCCCCTGCTGCCAGAAACTACAGAATGTGCAGGCAGAAAGCAGGAAACATCCCCCAAGGTAGAGCCACAGCCAAGGCAGTGTAGGACCCAGGGAGGGGGCTGCTGGTGTGAAAGCAGTTAGCAGAGAAACTGAGCTTTGGCTAAGGCATCAGGGACTCTACATCTTGGGGGAGGGGCAAGCAGGGGCAATCAGAGGATCAATCCTGGAAAAAATCTTATGAATAAGTTTTATTTCAACTACTTTCATCTTCTTTCTCAAACCCAGGAAGGAGGGGGAGTGAAGCACCAAGTTTTTGCTTCTGACAACAAGCACCTGTCTGAGTGCAGGCAGACTTGCGTGATACATTCCCAGGATGGTGTCATGTGAAAAACTCAATCTTAATTTTAAAAAGCTCCAGTGATATAAGAGCAGAAACTTGATTTTGTCCTTGTGAACAAAACCGGGAGAGTAACAGCTGCTATTGACTGCAGCTGAGTTTTCTTCCAGACCCAGAAATGCAACGTGGGAAATGTAGTTCGAAAAGTAGCTTGGGAAATGTAGTGACATATAGAGAAAGGCAGTTTGCTTTAATGAAGTTGGTAACGGAGATGCCAGTACCACACTGCGCCAAAACTCTGTGGTTTTTGTTGTCGTTTGTTTGTTTTTGTTTTGTTTTGTTTTGTTTTGTTTTGTTTTCAGTTCAAAATGCTGTATTTTCCACAAGCTTTGCTAGCTTGTCTCCAGGGAATGAGAAACAGGCAAATAGCTTGCCTGTCAGGAGGCAATTAAAATGCTAATACCACTTGTCAACAAGCCACTTTGAAATCCTTTAGAAAACAAGGGAAAGTGGTCCTTACTCTGGGAAATTGCTTCAGACATGAAACCAAAACTTACACGATTGAGTTGTGCTAAAAATATGCAAGATGGAAATATTGGCATCCTTAAAAATGCTTGTGGTAGTCTTAAAAAGCAGCTTTAAAAAAATTAAGAACAGAATTTTACCCTCAGTTAGGCTTAGAGCCACTGATAAATTAGGCTGACTTCAAACTCTCCAGAAAACTTTCAGATATCAAAGCTAACTATAAACTCCGAACTTTAGAAATGAATTGCATACTTCCAGTCTCGTTAATAGTTCATTTAAGAAACCTCTTCCAAAATTTTGTAAAATAGTCCTATAGAGTTTGCTTTTGAATGTAAGTTAGTTCTGTTAAGAGATTCTTCTAGACAAGTTTGTAAAATAGTTCTATAGAGTTTCCTTTTGAATATAAGTTTGTAAAATAGAGTTTCCTTTTGAATATAAGTTTGAATATAAAAAGGGTAAATATTGAATGTAAAAAGTGTAAATATTGAATGTAAAAAGTGTAAATGTTCAATGTAAGTTTGTAAAAAGTGTATAGTAATGTTCATACTAGAATTGTTTTTATTACTCTTTTGACTTCAGATATATTTGAATACTTTTTATGATAGCTTAAAATATAATTTTATGATTTCAGTGGCCCCTGGAAAACTTAAGTGTAGGTGTCATAATTAAGGGAGTTTT